GTAGGTCTCTAAGAACTGACTCTAACACTTGAGGCATAAAAGGCTTTCATCTCTGAGATGGTTCCCTTGAATCAGTCTCTCCTGTCCTACTGAAGGAGATTCTTTATTAAATTGTAAGAATGTTGAAGGGGCCGAAGGAAAGTGGTAAATTGCTTTTTCCAAGTTAAATTTTTTCTCTTTATTAAAGTTATGTGTCCCCAATTTAGAAAAAAATCTGGATAAGCAAAAACTGGAAATAAAAACCATCCCACAGTCTCATTCTCCAGCCATTTGGTTAGAACCTGTCCCATCTCTGTTTTGTCTTCTCTTTTACAAAAATGGAATCGCATTGTGCATAACATTTGATAGACCTACTTTTTTCACCTAATACACCCTGAACATCCTTTCGTGTTTAAAGTTTTTTTTATAACCTTATTTTATTTTACCAGTCCCCTTTGATAGGCTGTTTCCAATTTTTCTGATCAATAAACCCTGCAGTGAGTATTTCAGCTAAATTTTTATGCAGTTCTTAATGTTTTTGGAAGTTCTTTTGGAAAAGCCAATCATTGTTCTTTGCTTGGCCCGTGTAGTGGTGCAACAGTGGAAGATACTTTCACGTTCCAGTGATGAATTTTTTTTTTTTAAATAGTAATGGTTTTTGGCCTGGCTTAACTTTTCTTGTTATATCCTGATTTGTTCACAGAGGAACGGGGTCCTGGACTTTGACTTGAGACCTGGATTTGAGTGCACGGACTCTGGGGGCTTGGCCTTGGGTCAGTCATGTGATGTGTTCTACAAAGAGGGTCTTGTTAGAGAGATTAAATGAGATTGCTGATGAAAAAGCAGTTCAAGAACCCAGTGCTGCCCAGGTGGAGGGGATTACGAGTCTCAGGAACCAGTGGACCAGTCCGCTGTCTGAGGTGAAGGGCTCTTGACTCTGCTCATCTGCTTTCTCAAACTTGGCTGACATTGGAACGCCCTGCAGAGTCTTGACAAATATGAATGTCTGATTCCTACCTCCAGTGATTCTGGTTTAATTGGTATGTAGTGTGACCTGGGAATCTGGTTTTATAAAAGCTCCCCAGGTCACTGCATAGCAAAACTTGAGAACCACTAATTTAATCCATCCCATTTTCCATCAGAGTGACCTTTCTGAAACCCATTCTGATCCTATGAGAATGTAGGGTGCATTTTCCCTTTTTATGGTAAGATACATATAAAATGTACCCTGTTAAAGTGTATAACTCAGTGATGTAAAGTACATTCACAGTGTGCAGCCATCACCACCATCTAGTTGTAGAACTTTTTTTTTTTATCAGCAGATACATTCTGGGCATTCAGATCTGTCTTCTTTGAGCTCTGGGCTCCCAGATGGCAGGGAGTGGGTCTCTTGTACTTTTGCCTCTCCGAGAAGCCCCCAGAAAATACTGAATTGAATACTTTTTTGTGTCCTGTCATCCATGGGTTGCATTCTGTTGCATTTCTTCCCTCCTGCTTTGAATTAAACTTAGCTACGTACCTGTCCACTCCTCCCTCTCCCCGGACCTGCGGCTGCTACCTTGCCTCGGTGGGTTCTGTAGCATATGGCACCCCCTGCTGGAGGCTGTTTGTTTTTAACCTGGGGTCTGGACTCAAAGATTTTTAAGAATTAGATTTGTGGTTCTCAGTGTTTTGGAGTTTGCTAGACAGTGTTTTTTTTTAATTTCGTTTTATTTTTTCCCATAACGGAGGCTCTGAGGGTTGAACCTAGGACTTCGGGCATGCCAAGCATGCCAAGCCCTACTACTGAGCTATGTCCCCTACACTCCCAGAGACAGTTTTGATAGATTGTTTTTTTCAAGGCACATATGAAGGGATTAAAAGACTAAAACAACACTGAAATAGCCTGTAACAATTATAACTCAAAGGTGGTGTCGCATAACAGGGTCTCCCAGCTTCTGTGAAAATGTTCATCGTTGTTTGCTTCATTGGTTGACTCTTGGCTCCGAGTCATCCTTAGAGTAGCTGTTTGCTGCCCTGACATAGTCAAGAAGCAAGTTCAAGTAAACAGGAGTTTCTGGTTTGGTTACCCTACACTCTTGGAGGTCTCACGCGAATGAGACAATGTAATTGTCCATGTTGCATCACAAACCCCACTTAGCTCAACTCTGTATCCAAAATATTCTCACCTCACTACTTCTGCTAGTTAACATCAAAACGTACTTCCCACTTGGGTCAAATTTTGTTAGCTGTGTTGATGGAGAGCTGCTGAATTAGGTCAGGGGTCATCAAAAGGAGATGGAAAGAAGGGCTGGGGAGTGACAGGAACCTGAGGAAAAGGGAAATTCTGGTAGGAAGGGGAAGTGGAGGTGGATGTGAATGGAAGTGGCAAGGTGACTAGTGAGGAGCCACGTTCACATTGGCAGCATTCTAAGCCCCTGGGGAGGAGCTCTGTCTCAGCTCATCCCATCCCAGCTGAATCCCAGGCCCCCAGCATAGGGGAAAGGGCGGTGATGCCAGCACTGTCTGCACCGTAAGGGTGCAGAGATGATCGGCGCTGGGCCCAGGGGCGTGGCCATGGGAAGCATGCAAATGAGGGGTGAGTGCCCTCCCCGCCTACCTTAGCATTGGCATCACCTGGGGGCTTACTGGCTGAGCAGTTTCTAGGGCCACACCCTAGACCTACTGAACCAGAAACTTGGTACTGGGGGAGGAGGCAGCAGTTTGTCTATTAGCAAACCTCCCGGTGATTCTAGGGCCCTGCTCATTGAGGTCGTAAGTCTAGAATGGTCTCTGAGGTCCTGTTCCACTCTGGAGTGAGGTGTGCGGCTCAGGTGGGTTAGGAGGGCGAAAGGAGGAGCTGCCCTCTGTATTTGCTGGTGGTGGTTACCACCCAGGGGGATGAGGGAGCTCGGCCTTCAGCTGCATGTGGTCCCAGACCTCTGCGTGTTCTCTCTGTATGGTTTAGTGTTTCTCAGTTTAGGACGCAGCCCCCCAGCCCCAGATGGGTCAGAGTGGGGCCAGCTATGGGATCTCTAACCGTGGAGGCTGCCTTAGGCATCCCTGAGCAAAGGGGGAATTACGGTGGTTTCTTACCAGTTGATAGAAAAATGTCACAGGTACAGTGTCATTAATTTTGGTTTTTTTTCGTCCATAAATTTTCCTTAGTGTTTTGCCATCTGTTATTTGCCTGAATAAGCAAGCAGCAAAGAAACGTTAATAGAAATACCTGAAAAGTTAAGAACTCGTCATCTCTGTGGACTTTTTGCCTATGGTTGTGATTTTACATTAATTTTTACATTAGGACATTCATGTAACATTCTCTTAGAAACACTGTTTTGAGTTCATCTGATGTGCTTAGTGGCCAGGATTTTGGGTTGAGAGAAAACAGCATGACTGAGACAATTTAGTGTTGTGGGTCAGACTGCCTGGGTTCAAGCTCCACTGGGATCGATTCTTTGCTGTGACCTTGGGTGAGTTACTTAACTTCTCCTTGTCTCAGTGCCAACATTAGTAATGCGAAAATAGGATTTACTTCATAGGGTGGCCCTGAGGACGAATAAGATGATATGGGCAAAGCTATGGGATAGTGCCCTAGTTAGCACTTAATAACTGACACTGTTACCATCTTCGTGGCTTCCAGGAAGTTTGAGATTCACCCACAATCTCTTAACATTTTGGCTCAACATGTTGACTTTCTGATTCTCATGCCCATCCATTGATTTCTTAGTGCGCATGCTCCCTCTGTGGACTTCTCCAGTCTTGTGACTTCAAGTCACATCTCTGATTGGATGCTTTCGGGAGCCTCTTGTCTTGAGACCTCTCTCGGGAACCCTTGACACCTCCGTTTGGATGTCTGAGAGGTATCCTCAGATTAAAGCTGGTCTAATAGAAGGGCTGCCTTTCTGCTCTTCCTTTCTGTTTGTATTCTCTTCTCCTGGAATTTGTCCTCACGTTCAGTTCAAGGATACCCCGTCCACTAGTTCTCAGAGCAGAGGCATCTGCCCTCCTGCCCACAACCGCTCCCTGAGCACCCAGAGGCCCATTCTGGTTTAACATCATGGTCCTGTGGCTTATACCTCGAGGGAATCCTCAGCCCTTTGTCCTGGCTCGCAGATTCCGCATGGCCTGGACCTAGTCAATGGCCGCCCTCCCTCACCTTCTGCTCCTGGGTATACCGCCTGCTGTCTAGCCTCTGAACTTGGGGCCTTTTCTACCGTAAGCTTTTGCTCTGGTCTTCTCTGCATCTGCTGAAGTCCTCTTTCCTGTAGCTCTCCACTTGTCCTTCACACCTCAGCCCAAATGCCATCTCCCCAGAGGCCTCCCTCGACATCCCATCCCAGTAACCTCCCTGCAGTTCTCTTCTCTCCCACACCTCTGCGTCCACCTAGTGCCATTTATGTCCATCATACTGTTCTTATGTATTTATTTGCCTGCCCCCAGTCCCTACGTAAGCACCTTGGGCCCAGGAATCTTGCACATTTGTTTTCTGCTATATCCAGAGTACCCAGACAGTGCCTGGCAAGTAGATGCTAAATATATAGATAAATAAAGTGTGTGTATGTGTGTGTGTGTGTGTGTGTGTGTGTGTGTGTAGTATAAATGAACTTGTACTGTATGTCAAATACCATGCAAAGTGCTGGGGACATAAAGATAGGGCAGAATTCTTAGGTTGGAAGAGCTCGTTGTTTAATGGGAGATGGACAAGCAAGGAGAGAATTAAGTGGAGTGTGAAGAGGAGCATGGGGACAAGTGTCGAGGGCTCTGTGTTCTAATGAGAGCTGCCTCCTGTGTGGGGCCAGCCATCTTCCTTCGGGCTCACTACCCCTGGCCTGGTGCCTGGCCTGAGCAGGGCAGCACGGGGATCCAGGCCTCGTCACTGCCCTGTGCCTGCAGGTGCCTGGTGAGTGGCCACATGGGGAGAGCCTCTTGCAGACAGTAGTAATCTCAGTGAACAGGGCCCCTTGTTTGATGAAGATTGGTCGTGTCCTCAAGAAATGAAGGTTGTGTCTCCTTCCCTGGTCAGATGCCTGTCTCTGGGCCCAGCCAAAGAGGGACAAAGAATTGGAGACAGGTGGCAGAGTGGAGCAAAGTGGCGGCTGGGGGGTAGCCTGCCTTCTCCCAACTAGCACATCACGGACACGTGTGCTTCTTTAATCCTGGGGGCACCTTGGAAGGTACCCTGCTGGAGAGGTACTGGAGAGGGCTGGCTGCCAAAGGAGGGAGCAGAGGGTTGTTCTGTTGGTGGCCAGGTCTGAGGTTCTTCAGTGCTGGCTGGTAGCCACTGCTGGCTCTAAGGTGACCAGGTTCCTATTGCTATCAGTGTCTCCACAAAGGGCACTCCCTCTAAATAGTGTCATCAGAAGTCCTGGTTAGGGTCTTATTGGGTTACTGCAGACTAGTCACTGTGGCTGGGGGAGGGACTGAGGCTCTGATTGGCTGGCTGGGGTTGTGACTCCCTCGGTGGGTCATCTCCACCCGCACCACAGAGTGGGTTCCTCCTAAGAAAGATGGGATAGTTACAAGAGGAATGGACAGACGCTGGGCAGACAGAATGAACAGCGGTCCTTTAGCCCGAGGATAAACAGCAGTTGGGGGAGGGTGGGTGCCCTGGGCAGGTGATGCTGGGAGCACAGCTGGCTGGTGACTGTGTTTCCATCTCCTTGTCCAGAAAAGTTGCCAGACGGCCAGCATCGCCACCACGGAAGCCTCTGCCCAGACCCGGAAGTGTGCGGATGCCGAGGTGCAGACTGAGGCCCCCGAGCCGGTGGGCGCGCCATCCATGCCCTGGAACGATGGCCCCCAGCTTGCAGCCTTTCTCCGGAGAGTGGAGGTCATGGTCACCCGGGAGCTGAATAAGAATTGGCAGAGTCACGCGTTTGACGGCTTCGAAGTGAACTGGGCCGAGCAGCAGCAGACGGTAGGGGTGGGCTGGTGCTGGCCTGGGAGGCCTCAGGTCCGGGCTCTACCCCATTTTAAGTCCCTGAGTGCTGCTCAGATGAGAATAATAACAGTGACAGCCGCAGTGTTCACTGGCCTCTTGCTTTTCTGCCAAGTGCTAAGCTGAGCTTTACGAGAAGCAGTCATGGGGCCTTCCCCGCTGCCCTTGAAGTCGATGCTGTCGGTTTCCCCGTTTTACCTCTAGGCAGTGGTGGGGGCAGGATTTGAACCTGGGCAGTCTGACTCTGGATCTTATGTTCCTAACCACGTGGTTCCCCAGGCGCACTCTGCGCCAGCTTATCTACTCCTCAGGACGACTGTGCGAGGTAGTGCTATCCTGATCTCCATTTTGTAGATGAGATTCAGACAGGCTAAGTGACTTAGCCAAGGTGGCACAGCCGTAACTGGCTGAGCTGGAATTTGAGTCCTTGTCTGTCTGGTTTCACTACCATACTCTCCAAGTCTTTCTGGTCTTGAGGCACAGCTCAGAGCTGCCACCCTGTAAACGCAGATGACCATTTGGATATGCAGCCTAGGCTTTGAGATCAGGGAGCCTCTGAATAAAGGAGGGGCCCTTGGCTTTTACTCCACCCTGGCGTTGCCTGTGGACAGGATGCTTGCTCAGCAGCCTGTGAGAACTTTTCTTATATAACGTTTTCTTCTGTTAGAAATGGAGCTGAGTAATTCTGTGTTCAGAGGTCAGCAGTCCCTCTCTCCTCCCTTCCTCTTGTGCTTTCCTTCCGTCTGTTTCCAGGTACACAGCTGCCCTGGTTCCACCAAATCATTGGCAGGTGTGGGAGAGTTGATTTAGTTGAGAGAAATCCTCAAAATTGCTCTGAAAAAAACAATTGCCAAGGCCATACCAAAGTGTGGAGCCATTGAATCTTCTCAAGCAGAGCACAAGAAGAACTTAATGAACGTTAAAATCTCAGCTCAGCGTGCCCGTTTGACAGTTACATTCAGAGGGGTTAAGCTTTTGTTCTTCACTGTTAACCCTTTTCCGCCTTCTGTGGATTAGTTTGGTCCATGTGTGTATTACTTTCCCCCTCTTTAAAATACAGCTATTCTTTTCTGATTACAAAAGTAATACGTGCTCATTGTAATAAACTCAGCCATTGCAGAAATACAGAACACGTAATGTGTAGGCAGTGAGCGGGAACCCTAGTTCAGAGGCCTTTAGAGTCGTTCCTGGGCTACGCTGACACGTAGCGTTACCTTTACTGCCGTGGTCATTAAGAACGTTGGAAACAAGTGGAAAGCACTGTACATTTCATTTGTGACCTTTCTCACTCACTACAGCTTTCCATGTCAGTTCCTGCGGGGGTGCCCCAGTCCTCCTGGAACCTGCATGGTGTCCCGCTGCCCAGACACTGTCAGGGGACAGCCCAGCAGCAGTCCTACTTCAGAAACGTATCCTCCAGGAACACGTGACTGGGTGGGAGGCTAGGCAGTGCCCTGAGTGGCCATGTGGCGTGCAGTCCCCTGATGGCCCCGAAGTTTCTTAGCTATTCCTGAATGTGGGGCAGAGGAGTCATGCTTTCAAATCTTGCTGTTACATAACAGAACTGAAGGAATCTCTATGTCTTTGTTTTTCTTCTTTTGCATCAATTTTTTGTTTATTTCTCCCTAGTAGAATTACTATTTGGGCTGATGCATTGGGTTTTGCTGTCTTTCCTCCAGCTGTCAAGGTATTGGCCTTGACATTTCCCCGCTGTCCTTGGTTGTAGCAGCCTGAGAAAGGCTGAGATGCCTCTCTTATGAAAGACTGTAACTGCACAATTCTAAAAACAATGACAAAAGCAGAGCACATGGAGCGACACAGACACCCCAGGTTGTGCCCCAAGTGAGCCCAGTCCTCCCTCTGTCCCTCTCCTGGCCCTACTCCTGTGCAGCTGGCAGCTCTGGCTCAGAGAGTCAAGGAGATTTTACCCCGTGTGCCACTGGGTGTCATCTGGAGAGACCTGGCCAGGGCACTAATTTGCTTCAGGGAGCTGTAGCTTTCGTGCCTTGAGACATCACTGAGAGGACCCAGTCCCTTTGCACAGCCTCCTGCCCAAGCTCCCCAGCTCTGGCCTGGCGACCCCTCAGCCCACGGTCCTCCTGGGCTCAGCAGGCGGTCTGCAGGAGCGCCTGCAGGCGCCTTACGAATATTCACAGAGAGGCGGGCCCAGGAGGCTAACTGAGTACAGGATGGCTCCCAGAGCCACAGGACAGAGGCTGGGGCAGCCCTTACCCAACTCAAAACAGGCAGATGGGTGGCTGGTGAAAGGAAGGGACATTCACTTCAGGGTTTTCACTCAAAAAAAAAAAGTAACAATGGCAGCGTGGCTGAACACTTTGGAATTAGCAAAGAGGGAGAGGTCACCTGGGCGCCCCCGGAGCCTTGGGCCTCTGCTTTGTCCTGCCTCTGTGCACACGTGTGTGTGGCTGGCAGCTGTGAGGCGCGTGGCTGACCTTGGGGTCTTTTCTCTTCAGAAGCAAAGCCTGTTCTGTGTTGTCAGGTTGCTACACAGACTTCACCTGTGTCCTTTTTAAATGCCGTATAATGTTTCACCATAATTTTTTTTTCTGAGTCAGGCTTTTTGAGGTGCATTCTCTATACAAGTAAATTCATTCACCCTGTGTGTTGATCTTGGCAAGCACATACCCACCAGTGAAGGTACAGAACAGCCCATCTTTAGATTCTAAATTGTACTATGATTGCAGTTATAAATGGTGTTATGATAAATCATGTGTATAGTTTATTTTTAATGTAAACATTTACTGACTACAGCATAAAAACATGCAGCTTACACGTGTTCAGTCCATACTTCTCACACAGTGAAAATGTGTATGGAACCAGAATCCAGATCCAGAAACCAAAAGTCCATAGACCCCCCAAGGTTTTCTCATGCTCTTTCTACCTCCTGCCCCACTATACAGCTTTGTTTTAAATAAATATTTTTTGAGATGTAATTTACTTCTTATGTAATTTTTTCGGTTTGTTTATTTTTGCAGGGGGAGGTAATTTGGTTTATTTCTTGATTTTTAGAGGAGGTACTATGGATTGAACATAAGACCTCATGCATGCTAAAGCATGTGCTCTGCCACTTGTGCTATCCCCACCCCTTTTTTCTTTTTTGAGGGGAGGTAATTAGGTTTGTTTGTTTATATGGAGATACGGAGGACTGAACCCAGGACCTGGTGCACGCTAGGCAGGCACTCTGCCGCTAAGCTGTACCCTCCCCGACTACTTCTCATATAATTTTAAAGTATACTGTTTGGTGGGTTTTAATATATTTCCAGAGGTATGTAACCATTGTCACAGTCATTTTTAGAACATCTTCATCACCTCCCCTCAGAAGGAAACTCCATACCCAGTCACTCCCCATCCCCCTGGCCCCCATCTCCTGGCAACTGCTAGTCCACTTTCTATCTCTAGCTTTGTCTCTTCTGGACATTTCATATAAATGGAATCAAATACAACAAGTGGTCTTTGTGGTCGGCGCCTTCGACTCAGCAGAGTGTTATCAAGGGCCCTTGTGTTGTAGCCTCTGTCAGGGCGTCACTCCTTTTTATGGCTGAATTACGCTCTGTTGTGGGAGGTACCACACTTGTCCATCGGTCAATGGACATTGTGGCTCTCATGAACAGTGCTGTGGACATTGGTGCACCAGGTCTTGTGTAAACGCGCATGTGTTTTCAGGTCTCTTGGGTGTGTACCCAGGAGAGGAGAGCCGGGCCACGGGGTGACGGGCGTCCTGAGGAGCTGCTAGGCCGCTTTCCACAGCAGCCGCGCTGTCCCGCCTTCTCACTAGCAGGGTACAGCAGATCCCACCGGACAGCTTACAGATTTTGGATTCTTTCCGTTGGATAGGTTC